TGCTCTGAATATTTTATACATGTCTCTTCGAGCACACATGTGATGATTTCTTCAGGTCACAGAATGAGAATCATTAGGTCACGGAGTGTGTGCATTTTCAATTTAACTTTTTCTACTGGACTGTGTTTTTCTTATGAATATGCAAGAGTTCACTTATTCAGCTAAAAAATACATATTTAACACGTAGTCTTGGAGCTCCGCTGGAGACAGAGCAGTGTGACTAAAGTGGGAGAGATGACAGAAGCTGAGGTCTGAGAGGCAATGGAGAGCCAGGCCCCCCGGGGACTTGCGGGACATTGTAAAGACTTTGGACTGTACTCTGAAGGCTTTGAGCAGATGAAGTAGCATGACCTGACTTTCATTTTAAAGGAATCATGCTGGTCAGAATTTTAGAAATCTAGTGAGTCAGATTATAGCAATTCTCTCGCCAAGCAGTACTATAAATACAGGTGAAAATATAAAAATATCATAAAAGAATCAAAGAGCTGACAAGATGGAAAGATTTACTAGGACAAAATGGAAGGAGAAGCAGCAATTCGGTGAGGACATCGGCCAGTAAGCATGAAGGTGAACTTTGGTGTGAGGGGTACAGAAATCCAAGGGCGACGTGTTTTATGTAGCGAGTCTGTCTATTAGAAGACCCTTCCGTGTTAATCTGAGATTCCCAGAGGGTTACTCCCTCAGAGCAAGGCTGAACAAGCAGTAAGCCTGACCATCTTTACCCATACAGGACTATAATGAAATTTTCCTTGACACTGAGCAAGGTAGATGAAAGAAAAAAAAAAAACAATCATCATCAACAACAACAACAACAAAACGTCTCTGAGAGATTATAACTACAATCTTGGATTTTTCCTCACTTGGATTTGCAGCCAAAATTCACATCAGGGCTCAAAAAAACTTCATAGTATCAACTTAGTTTAAAGCAGTCTGGGGATACTACCCCCTAGACCTGATAAATACAAACACGAATCCTTTATGGAAATAAGACACCTTCATTTTAAGCCTCGAATAATCTCCACAAATATCTTTCAAGGATTATGAGCATCATGCAATACAAAATAACCAAGCACACAAAGAAACAAGGCCCATGAGCAAGCATTTATAGAAAGAACAAAAAAATAGAAACATGACGATTTTCGATATTTGAATTATCAGACACAGATGATAAAACAATTATGTTCACTGTGTTTATATTATATATATGTGTGTGTAAATATATGTATGTATATAAAAGACAACTTGAAAATATCTGCAAGATATAGGAAACTGTAAGAATTGATCTAGCATATTTGAAAAATAACTAAAGGGAACTTCTAGAAATAAAAAAATAATCAAAATTTAAAATTCAACAAATGGATTTAATTGTAGATATAGAGAGCTGACGGTGGGGTGGGTGAACTAAGACTTTACTTCTCAAAATGTGGTCTTCATACCCACAGAATTGGTATCTCTCAGTAGCTTGTTGGAAATACAGAATCTCAGGTCCCACTCCAGACCTACAAATTAAAATCTGAACATTAGCAAATCTCTAGGTAATTAACATGCATATTAAAATTGATCAGGATGGGGTGAGAGATTCTTCATTTCTGACAAACTCCCAGGTGGTGTTGGACCAAGAACTGCAAATACCAAAGAACCAGAAGGAAGGTCAGAAGAATTATCTGTTATGCAGCACAGACTAACAAAAGAATGGAAAATAAGGAAGAGAGATTAAAGGACATGAGAACAGAATGAGAAAATCCAGAACATGTTTAATTAGAGTTCTGGAAAAAGAGAAGACAGACAATGTTGCAGAAGTAACGTTTGAAGAGATACTAGCTGAGAATTCCTCAGAACTGAAGAAAGACACCAATCCACCTATTCAGGAGGTCCAGTGATAGACAAAAAAGAAAATCCACTCCCAGATATCATGGTGGAACAACAGAACACCAAAGAAAAAAGTTAAATATGCTAGAGGAAAAAAAAAAATCAATGACAGATTAATAACTGACTTCTCAATGACAACGATGGAAGACTGAAGCAGATGAAATGGAATCTTCAGTGTGATCAAAGAAAACAATTGCCAGTAAAGAAGCATAAAAAAAATATTTTCAAACAACAAAAAAAGGATGAAAAAAATGAAAACGTTCCTTTGACAATTTCCTCTTCTGGAACTCATATTTAGGTATTTGGCTTCCTGAATTTCTTATTTTGTTTTTGGTTTATTTTCTGGGGATTTTTTTTCAACCTTATCTCTTAAATAAACCTTGTATAAAATTTTTTCTTTAATTTTAGCCATTATATTTTTAATTATTGAGAATTCTTATCTTTTGGTTGTTTGAATAGTGTTTATATTTATCACTTTTTTCCTTGCTAGAAACTTGTCTATTTTTACCAGATATTGGTTTTCTTGATCTTTATTTTTTCTATTTAATTAATTCTGTTCTTTTATTATTTAATATCTTCTATAGATTTTGGTTTACTAAATAGTTGTATTTTTAAAAATTTCTTGAGTTGAATGCTTACTAATTTTCTGTTTTTTTTCTTTTGAAAGGTACACATTTAATGTTATGAATTTCCTTCTAAGTACTGCCTTACCTTCATTCCTTAGGTTTTCTATACAGTATTTTTATAGGAATTAAGTACTAAAAATTGCACATTTCCATTACTACTTCTTTGAACCATGTATGACTTAGAAGTGTGTATTTGAAAATTTCTGTGCATATGGAGGGCAGATACTGGGTTGATCATGTTATTTTTTGTTATCGATTTCTAATTGTGTTTAGGGAATGTGGTCTGTTTGATACAGGTTTTGGGGTACTTGTTTACTTACTTTTTGGCTTAATACATGGCAGATTTATGTAAATATTCCATATTTTCTTGAAAACATTATGAATTCTCTAATTTGGGGGAGAAGGGTTCCATATGTTATTAGGTAAACTTTGTGAATGGTGTTCAAATGTTAAGTGCCCGTATTAGCTTTAGGTCAGTTTGAGCAAATTGCTGAGGGGGTGTTATACCATCTACCATGATTATAAATTTGTCAATTTCTTATTATAAATCTGTCAGGATTTTCTATATTATCAGGCTATATCCTGGGTGTATACTAGTTCAAAATCATTTCATATTTCTGGTAAATGGTTCATTTTATAATTAGTAGTAATTTTTGTTATTCCTATTAAAGCTTTATATATAAACCAGATTTTAGATTGCATTTTCCTGGCATATCTTTTTATTTTTAAATCTCTTCATTTTTTTTACCCTCTTCCATAGCCTCCTACTTTTTATGTGACTCATAAGCAGCATACTGTTGGATTTTTAATAGTTCCAATCTGAAAAATCCTTTATATAATTGCAAGTTTAATGCATTTATGCACATTCTAATTAATGGTATGTTTGGATTCTATTTCTCCCAGTTAATTTCGTGGGTTTTTAAAAAAAATTTTATTGTGCTTTTTCTTTGTTTTTGTTTTTTTTTTCTTTCCTGATTTTTTTGTGGACTGATACTGTTTTAAAAGTTCCTCTCCACTGATTTAGAAGTCATCTATTTATATTTTTTAGTTATTACTCTTACATTTTTAATATGCTAAATTGGCTAAAAATATGACAACAATAATGTTTTACTACCCTCCTCCAGGATGATAAAGAATCCTGGGAAGTTTAACTCGAATTCTCCTTTATTCCCCATCCTAAGTGTTAGGATTGTACTGTAATTAAGTTTTACCTATGTTTATACCCCTACATGTTCATTATTATTGTTTATATAGTTAAATCGTTATTTCGATTTTTCTTCCATTTGCCATTTTCTTTTATCATCACTTCTTACAACTTGATCTTTCTTTCTAGATTTTGACTCCTTTTTCCTGAAGTGCATCCTTTAGTAGTTCTCTTATAGCGCTTCATACATAGAAAGTGCTCAATAAATGTTTATTCATTCAATAAATTACTCAAACTACTATAGCAGTACAGTTTGTGCACTTATAGCTCTTGCCTCGTTTGCCAGACAGATAGATAAGACACCTGATGACTGGGGCCTGGAGGACAGAGCTCATTACCCGGTTTTGGTTAATACTATGAATTAAGAGGAAGGATAGTGAGAACTGAGGGCCTAAGACTTCTCCAATTTTCCTTACCATGTTTTCCCGGAAATCTCTGTCTAACATCAGAGCTATTGTTTTTCAGCATAAGCTTCCGGCCTCCGTTTCCTTCTCAGCTTGCTTGGGGCAGACATTTGCCCCATTTTGGAAAGCAGCTTGGGAAATCTGCACCCTCCTCCTACTGCAGAGTAACCAAACGGAGGAGTGTGGGCCCAGTCAGACTCCCTGGGATCTAATTCCCTCTCTACCACTTGTTGGGCAAGTTAATTGGCCTCTCTTTGACTCAGTTTCTTCATCTGTAAAATGAGGATAGTAATGTATCTACATCATGGATACATTATTTGTTCTGCAACTTGAATGAGTTAATACACAGAAGGTGCTCTGAACAGTGCCAGTACCTGTAAGCACCCAACACATGATAGCTACGGTGTTGCTGCTGCCTGTGTCTCTTCTGAGCTCCACCTCTTCACTGGCTCTGGACACTGGGATCAAATATGATCGTTCAAATTGAGGTTTCACTTCAGGCTCATGATGATGGAACACAGACACATGCAGATTACCAAGGGGCTTCATTCAAAACACATATTCAGGTTTTTCTCTGTGCTTTAAAATAAGATGTCCCAGGCATTATCTCCTGCAGAAAGCTGTGTTTTTTTTCAAATTTTCTTAGTCAAAATTTGTGGGGACGTTCTCATTTCAGGTGGGACTTGGTTCTGAAGACTGATTCAATAAACTCATGTTCGTCAAGGTCCAATAGAAAGCTAATAGCTACAGATCCCAAACTATTCTTACTAATCATTTTAATCCACTGTCACAACACACCGAATCCTACTTACTTTTTATTTGGTGAATGGGATATATACTTAGGTGTGGTAGTGGTTATCTTGTACATAAATACCTAATTTTTTTTGTTCCTTCTAGTGTGTGAAGAATTCTTGAACAGATTCTACATCTCCTTGATAGCCAGAGGGGTTGACTTTTCTCCGGACACCATAGAAAAAGAATTGATCAGCTTTTGCTTGGGTGTCAAAGGAAAAGAAAACCGCCTGGTACAGTAAATTTTCACCTTTCATTCTCGCTTGTGCTTGAAGAAAACTGCTCATACTTTCACTTCTCGTCTTGGACTTGATGTTCTGCTAAGATGCCTGCCTCAAGCACGATCACTATAGGAAGCAAGCAGAGAAATGTAGTTGTATGAATTTTCATCTCAAATAGATCTGTTTCATTTTGCTTTCTGAATAAATCACAACCAATTCCACGTCTCTCTAAATAAAATTATACAATCGAATTCCTAATGAGAATTTACTATCCTATCCTGAATTAAGAGGGTAGACTTTCTGTTCCTTGCCAAGACAGTTAATTAAACCTATCAAAATATTTTATATCATTATTTACATATAAACAATGAAGCATTTATATTTTCTTGCAATGGTGTTTACAGGTCTTTCCTGGGTATGCACAGATGACTTTATTTTTTTCAATGTACTGTTTTACATCACTAAAGACAATCTTAGGCCAATTCATTTTGCCTAAAATTGTTATGTTTCACTTGTCAGTTAAATTTGCATTGTTGACGGCTCACCACTGACACACTGTAAAACTCTCAGCATTTATTTGTGCCATTAAATGTTATATTTTAAAATGTAAAATGCTTCAGTCAAAGGCATTAAGCATGATGAATAAGGGCAAGGACTCTAGAGCTGAAATGCTAAATTTTTGAATTCAGTCTCTTCTACTTGCTGAGTGAGTGAACTTCGGTTGGCTTAGGTGTGAAATGGGGATAATAACAGCACTTATTTCAGAGGATTGTTGTGAGAAATAAGTCGATACCTATAAAGGCTTGAGAGCAGCTCTTGGCAAATCTTGGAGCATCATGTGAATTGTAGGGCACTTCTAATTAGGGTGATCACGAGAATGGGGTCATTCGTGTTCTGGTGTCTTAGTCAGCAGGAGTTAAAATTTAATAGCTGGGCCATGAAAACTAGGATAATCTCTTTCTCACTTCTCAAAGCCGTATTTCTTGATTTTTTTTTTTTAGTGTCTGGGCCACTAAATTCTCTTCATTCTCCTTCAGTGCTATTATCTAGGAGCAACAACAGATGCAGCCACAAAAATCCTAAGTGAGGTCACTCGCCCAATGAGTGTGCACATGCCTGCAATGAAGATTTGCGAGAAGCTCAAGAAGATGGACAGCCAAATCTGTGAGCTGAAATATGGTATAATGGAGTCAAATCTCTTTTCCCCAAAATGTCCAAAGTATTGCCAATTCTCGAAAAAGACTATGTTTCTAAAAAGTCAGTGTTAGAAGGAAAGAAATTCTTTACTCACCAATAGGTTGCTGAGCTGTTGGATGGTGCCTAGCGCCACTTGAGCTTCTATGGGGGAAGAGAAATGAATACTGTCACAATCAACTTTAGGTGAAACTGTCAACCCAAATAGCAAAGTTAAACTCTTAAATCCCTAAGGCAATGTCGACAATGTATGTCAAGGAAAAAAACCCAAAATATCAAAGAAACAATTTAGCTCTTGGTAACCTACTAAGACAAAGGTAGCATCTATCCAAAGGTGATGTAAGGACTTGGAAGTTTTAAATGTGACTATCTTTATTCTTAGATTTGTCTGTCATTCCGCCAGCTTTAAATTTTAGGTTATTCACATCAAATCAGGTTTTGCCTGATGAAATAGCTTTATTTCCGGTGCCTAAAATAAACAGCAAGGAAAGGAAAATGTCCTGTTTAAAACATTATCCTCGGCCTTATACAGTTCACAAAGTAAACCTATTCTTATACTGAGGCTTTCTATCTGGGCCAGCCTTTTGGGTATATTGAGTAGGTGTGATAAATGGCTAGGAGATTCCTCCCTTAGCCTGGACACCTGAAATCCCATCATCAGAGGCCCATTTCTTTTGCTTAAATCATCGTTTTATGTTACATACCCAGTATGGTATTGAAACTACCTAATTAGAACCCAGCTCTGAATTATTTTAGCTGTATTTTCAAACGTAGCTGTGGAATATGCTTATGCACCATAGCTACATAGCTGGCTTTAAACAGTTTTAAGGCTGGAAGATCCCAAAGACAACCTGTTTCTCAATTTGCCAAAGGCGGCCCCTAAATTCCAGGGTGTGATTATGGGGCAGACATCCCTTTTTATTGGCTTCCAAGTAGTGAAGTAGAGGCAGGAATCATGGAGTCCATATAAACAACATTCTCGAAAGGGAAAAACCTGTGCTGATTCTCTCATCTAACAAATTTATTTTGAATACCTGTCACTATGTGCAAGAGACCTTACTGCATTCCTCGAATAAGAGAAAAATGAATCAGATATTGTTGAGAAGAAATGAATACTTACTTATGTTTTGGCAACGATGGCCACTAGAGGCCCTTGGGGAGCCATGAACTAGTTTTAATTTTGGTATCAACATTTTCTTTGTAGTTTTAGGATGTCACAGAGGTTTTCCCCCTTTTTAAAATTAATGCCAGATGCCAAGTTCTCTAGAACAACTCACAGAAACTACTGACACTTGCAAGAGTATTTTTCCCCTCCGACCAGTTACCTTGAAGAGACCAGTAGTCCTAATTTCTTCTCTCCAGTTTATTGTTGGCGGGAAAATTGTGATTGAACAGGGGCCTTTGAGTTGCGAGTTGTTAATAATTTGGGCTTCCGAAGCTTCTACTTTTAAAAGCATTCTGTCAAGTCTGCCATGAAATTAACAAACAAAGTAAGTGTAGAGTTGGATTATGTTTTCAATTAGGAAGGTGTCATTTGTTTTTTGACCTGAAAGAATATTTTTCTTGCTCTGTATTTTAAAAGGATGATGATCACCATAAAAATTTAAGGGTTCTCTTAAATGGAGAATGGAGTGTAGCTGACCCTCCCAATAAAAACAAAAGGCTTTAAAATCCAACTTTTATTATTTTTTTCCAGATTTGTTGAGATATAATTGACATAAAACATTGTGTAAATTTAAGGTGTACGACATGTTGACTTGATACCCTTATGTACTGCGAAATGAATACCAATGGTAGTGTCAGCTAACGTCTCCATCATGTCACATAATCAGCGTTTCCTTTTTGTGAGGACATTTAAGATCTACTCTTTTAGCAACTTTCAAGTATATAATATAGTATAACTAACCATAGTCATCATGCTGTATATTAGATACCCAGAACTTATTCTTCTGATAAAGAAGTTGGTACCCTTTCGCCAGCATCTCCTATTTCACAAACCCCCAGACTCTGGCAACCACCCTTCTACTCTGTGTTTCTATGAGTTCAGCTTCTTTAGATTGCACACATAAGTGATATCATGCAGTCTTTGTATTTGTGTGGCTTATTTCACTTTGCATAATGCCCTCGAGGTCCATCCATGCTGTTGTAAATGGCATTATTTCCTTCTTTCTTGTGGCTGAATAATATTTCATTGTGTATATGTGTACACCATATCTTCTTTATCCATTCATCTGTTGATGGACACTTAGGTTGTTTCCATATCTTGGCTGTTGTGAATAATGCTGCAACGAACATGGGAATGCAGATATCTCTTTGATGTCCTGTTTTCATTTCCCGTGGATACATACCCAGAAGTGGGATTGCTGGATCATATGGAATTTCTATTTTTAATTTTTAAGGAGCCTCCATATTATTTTCCATAGTGGCTGCACCAGTTTACATTCCCACCAACAGTGCACAGGGGTTCCCTTTTCTTCACATCATCTCCAAATCTCATTTCTTGTGTTTTTCATGATAGCCATTCTAAAAGGTCTGAGGTAGTCTCTCATGGTAGTTTTGATTTGCATTTTCCTGATGATTTGTGATGTTGAGCACTTTTTCAAGTACCTGTTGGCCAATTATATGTCTTCTTTGGAAAAATGTCTATTCAGATCCTCTGCCCACTTTGAAATCAGATTACTTGTTTTTTTGTTCGTTTTTTGCTATCAATTTGTATGAGTTCTTTATATTTTTGGATATTAACTCCTTATCAGATATATGATTTGGAAATGTTTTCTCCTATTCCATAAGCTGTCCTTCATTTTGTTGATGGCGTCTTCTGCTATGCAGAACCTTTTTAGTTTGATGTAGTCCCACTTAGTAATTTTTGCTTTTGTGGCTTGTGCTTCTGGTGTCATATCCAAAAAAATCATTGCCAAGACCAATGTCAAAGAGCTTCTCATTATGTTTTCTTCGAGTATCTTTATACTTTTGGGTATTATGTTTAACTCTTTAATATGTTTCAAGTTAATTTCTGTGAGCGATATAAGATAGGGGGTCCATTTTTCCGCATGGGGTCATCCAGTTTTCCAAATACCATTTATTGCTGAGACTATTCTTTCCCTGTTGAGTATTCTTGGCTCCTTTGTCAAATATTAGTTGACCGTATATGAGAGGGTTTATTTCTGGGCTCTTGATTCTGTTCCATTGGTCTATGCGCCTGCTTTTATGCCAGTACCACATTGTTTTCATCACTATAGCTTTGTAGTATAGTTTGAAATCAAGAAAGGTGATGCTTCCAGCTTTGTTCTTTCTCAGGATTGCTTTGGCTATTTGGGGTCTTCTGTGTTTCCATGCAAATTGGGATTGTTTTTTTCTATTTTTGTGAAAAATGCCATTGAAATTTTGATATGAATTGCTTTGAATCTATAGATGGCTTGGGGTATTACAGACACATGAACAATATTAATTCTTCCAATCCATGAACACAGGGCATCTTTCCATTTTTGTCTTCTTCAATTTCTTTCATTAAAGTCTTGTAGTTTTCAGTGTACAGATCTTTTACCTCCTTGGTTACATTTACTCTTAAGTATAAAACACTTTTTAAAAAAATTTTTACTTTATTATTAGTTTCAAGTATACAGTACATTGGTTAGACATTTATATAGCTTATAAAACAATCCCCCTAATGGCTCTTCCTCTCTTCTGGTCTCCCCCTAGCCATTATATTAATGTTAACTGCATTCTCTATGCCGTAAAACACAATTTTTAAATTAGAGAACACTTACTGAAATCTTTGAAAAATCACTTGACAGGTCGTCAATCACAGTGAGGTTGTTAAGAGGGTTTTAAATGCTACGTCCCATTATGCAGGGGAGAAAAGAAAAGGACTCTTCAAGAGAAGCCAAGCTGAAAAAGTCCTGGGCTGCCACCCATCGTTTAATAAGTAAACTGAAATTTTGTATTCACATTCAAGCACACTCCTGGTCATGGGGGACGCAGAAGAAGACTTTGCTTTGAAAGAGGAAAATTACCCTCTCTGACAGGGATGAGCTTCAATTTTCTCCCCCTGTTTTTGGGCTTGACAATAGAGAAAAAGCTGAGTTCTTGACATTCTCAGCAGATAATTTGTACACAGGGAAACAACAGTCTTGCTAGAGGAGTTTGATGTTGGTGACAAGTATTCCTGGCAAGGTTAGGAGCCATATTGGCTGGCACTAACGCACTAGCATTAGAGAAGTAAGTATACCCCAAAGGACTGTAAATACATGCGGTGATAATGTACCAATCCCAGTGAGGGTGGGGGGTTAGGTGAGTTTAAGCAGAGGTCCAAAAGAAATAAGGATCAATGAGGATGCTCCTAATATTACTCATGTATTTGGGTTTCTTTATATTTCTATTTAAAAACTCGGTAGTGCTTTTAATATGTATGCTCATCTGTTTTACTGCAGCCGTATCTTTGTATAAAAGGCGAACCATTATTTTCTAGTTAATTATGATCTATGGCTCTCAGTCGGCCACTCACAAGGCCATCCCAACACATCACCTATTATTGATTCCCTTCTTCATACCTTAGGAGCTGCAGTCAGGATGTGGTGCCATTCATTTTAGTATTGATGATCTTGAGAAGCCATGGAGTGGTAGCAAATACCACAAAGCCACAGAGACCCCTGTTTTGAAGCAACTATAATTCCATGGAGAGGAAGTCTGATAGAACACGACTTATCCCAATAGCTTTGTATACAACACACTCCGCTTAGGTTTCCACAGAAATTAGAAGTACGCTCCACTTTGGATCATAGGGTAGTTGGCACCAAGATAAGGAACACCATTTGCCTTTCTAAATGTTTCAGAGTTGTTGTTTTTAAAAACTGTGCTCTTCCCTTTTGTCTTTTAGAAAAGAAACTGGACTTGGCATCCGTGGACCTGTGGAAGATGAGGGTGGCCGAGCTGAAACAGATCCTGGACGGCTGGGGAGAAGAATGCAGGGCCTGCGCGGAGAAAGCCGACCTCGTGAATCTGATCAAAGAACTGGCGCCCAAGTATGCAGCGACACGCCCCAGAACAGAACTCTGACCCCTGGACACCGCGCACGTGGGCTGAGATTAGAGACAACGTGACTTTCTGGGATACAGGCACGTCAGTGAAGAGGAACTGGGAGTTGCACTGCAAACTTTTTGTTTTGATGTTACACCTTGGAACTGGTGGCTTGGATTTATAAGCAAAACCGATCGTATTAGTAGTAGCTTACAGTTGAGTGCACCAAAACCTAAAAGCACCTTTCTCATAATTTTCGTGTAAGGACTATGTAAATTAATAAATTTAGGCTACCACCTAAAATTGGGGTGAGTGAACTCCTGAAAAATTGGACTAAATTGATTCTGAGAAGGAAGAGGGTGCTCAAAAGACCCTCTATGTGCACGAATATTTAATTAAATATATTGGATTAGGACAAAAGGAACAATGTTTAGCTTATCTAACTCCCAGCTCCAACTCAAAATAACAACTTGACGTAATGAAAAGTTATTAAAAAAGTAAACCTCATATTTTCAACCACAAATCACTCTACTTTCTAGCTCTCTTGGGTATCCAAAATGGGAGGGCAGGAAGTACTACTTAAAATTAGTGTTTCCATAAGAAGAAACCCTATTTAAAACCTATTAAACCTACTTAAAGTAAATAGATCAAGAGTCCATGCAAGTGCAGCCAGTGTTCCAGCAAACTGCATGGACACTCGTGCTGTTAAGTGGACCACGCTCACGGGCTTTTGCATGTCTTCTTGTCACACACTAGATGAGCTTTGGCTAGAGGGTTAAACGTAGTAAGGACACCTGCAGGCAACATGGAGCTTTATGGTTCTTAGTGCTATGTTATCAGCTTTAGAGTGTAAAATCATTTGTGGCTCCATTTCCTGGCCGCATAAGAACAGGATCCCACTGTGGCAGTGGCTGGCCCTGTGTGCGGGCGGAGGTAGGGAAGGGCTGCAGAACAGCGTGCGGGAACTTCCGGGGTGATGGAAGGTCTGACACCTACATGGTGGCTACACGAGGGAATATGATTGTCGGACTCAGTACGATGGATCTGGGCATTTTATTGTATGTAAATTAAATGTAAAATACTGCCATAGAAAAAATATTCGAAAATTAACTAAAATTAGTTGATTTAAACATCTTCATTTAAAGAATTGCATTGGGATTCCTTTTGGGGAGTGGAGGAGAAATTTTCCAGACTGAAAGTGTAATTTTCAGTTTTAAATGTTGCATCGGTAAACAAATTTTTAGTTGGACAGGTGGGATATGACCAAACTTATCAGAGAATTGATTAGTGGTTAGTAATTTAAAAATGAGAATAAGAAAGCTTTGGTGTAATACATGGCCGAAAGGGTTATTGTTTTTGGACTGGCAGCTTGATCATTATGTGTAAAGCACCCTACTTGATTATGAATGATATCTTTAAAATGCCCAAATTTAGGTTTTTTACTTTTTATAAACTTATACTTATTTCTCTTTTGTACATTTTGATCCGACTGAGAAAGTCGTCATTTGAGAATAGCACGTTTGTTGTCTGAGCTCAAAATCGGGGCGTATTTCTGAGTGTCATTTTTTTCAGGATATAGATTTAGGTAATAAGAACACAGCCCAGCAGCTATTCAGATCCATGATATTAGTCTGGTTTTTCAGAGGGCATCTACTCTAAGTCAGTGCTACAGCAAACTTCTCAAACTGTGCATACAAATCCCCCGAGATCTTGCTAAACTTATGAATCAGTAGGCCTGGGAGGGGCCTGAGCCTCTGCATTTCTAAGGCCCCCTGTGATGCCCATGCTGCTCCTCCATAGACCACACACTGAGTAGTAAGGGCCTGAGTCATGATCCTGTGACTGATTTATTTTTGCCTTCTGCCAGTCTCAATCAGTTAGGTTCATGATAGAGCTGAATATAACAATAATGACCAAAACACAAATGAACAACAATGAACTCACAAGAGTTGATTCTTTCATGTAAAGGAAGTCCAGAGGTAGCCAGTCCAGGGTAAACACGGCAGTTCCACAGTTATTAGGGACTCGGCTCTTACCTTTTGGCTTCACATCCTGGTGCTGGGTCCCATTCTTCACCGTGGTCCGAGGTGGCTGCGGGAACTCTGTTCCAGAGGGAGAAAGCATGAGAAGACCTGCCTCTAAACTGAGCCAGCCTCCTTAGGGCAGCCTGCCCCGTTCCCCTCCTAAGTCCCTCCACCCTCACACCCACCCTCGAGTTCCACGTCCCGCTCAACACTCTGCCTACATGCCGCTGACCAGAACTTAATCATGTGCCAAAACCTAGCCGCCAGGGAATTTGGGAAATACTATTCTTTGGTTGAGTTCATTGCTGCCCAAATAAAATCGGGATTTTTTTCAGTGAGGAAGAAGGGAGAAATAATTTGTGGCCACAAGCCACCTCTGCCACACAGCATAAACTTTTCCTTCCCTTGAATTTTAGTTATAATTCCTGGTTGTCATACCCTAAATAACTCTTCCCCTTCCTTGCTATTTGCTTCTTTCATAAATGCCTACAGTTATGTCTTTTTCTTCTTTTTTTGGTTTGATAAGAAGTAGCTATATTTTTCTATTTTCATTTTGAATCACTTCCTCTCATTGTGTGTGTGCATGTATTGTGTGTGTGTGTGTGTGTGTGTGTGTGTGTTTACTCAAAATTCAAAAGCATACATGATTTAGAGAGACATTCCTACAGAAGTGACAAAGCTCTGGGCTAAAAACTTTCATTTAAATAGTATTGGTCTGAGGCAGACATTATTCTTGATCTACTCTACATTTCAAAAATCACGCGAGATCTTGCTAAAATTATTCTAAGCAGATGGTCTACTTTCTTCCTAAATACACGTGGGAGACTAAATATAACATTTAGAGCACAACTTAAAAGTTGTAGTTCTTTATTTGACTATGGATATCTGTAATCGACATTCCACTGAAGTGTTAAATTTAGAACTAGCTTAGCATATAGAACAAGAAGAATATTTGACTATCAGATCCCTAAAAAACAGCAGAGCATTCTGGGATCCAGAGGCCCTGTCTGTGGTTTTGGGCAGGTCTTGGTAAGTGTCTTTTCTAAGCAGATATCTGAGTTTTTATCCTTTGACTCTCGACCAGAAGAAATGATGGGCAGGTGCCCGTTCTTTCACAGTGTGTTTGAAATAAAATAATTCTGCCAAGAGAGACAGAGAAAAGGGAATGGGTAGTATACATTATGAAGTTTTCTGTTTGTGTGTGGTATGCTTTTCCCTGACAAAAACTTTGAGAATTTAGGATTGTGCGGGCACCCCTGGTGTTGAAATCCTAAAGCTCGCCAGGATTTAAATTAAAATTTTAATGTGTGAGACTGATAAATTAAAAATTTAAATGGGATAGTCAACAGAAGTAAGGTTGTTAGCTGTCAGTGAAGGGGATCAGCTGTAAGGCGGCATCTTTCCCAGCTTTTCATGTGTTCCCCCCGCGAGGCGGCCTTCGCGCTCTCCGTATACCCGATTCTGCAGCTCCCTCCCAGGGTGCTGGTTTTCTGACGTGCTGTCTGGCTCTTCCAAAGTTTGGTGGTTGGCCCGGCCAGGTCACACACCTGGTCTGGCACGCCGTGCATTTTCTGTGAACGTATATCTGCTTATTAAGGGACTGTGGATTAGTCGGTTATACTGTGTCAGAGATGGATTAACCAGCATTTAGGACAAGAGAAGAAAGAAAAAAGAACACATAAAGATCTATAATACAGGCCCACAAGCCATTATCAAATACTTGGAGCTAAATATTCTTGGAATTAATCCATTTTTTTTCAGATTCTAGAAAGACAGTATGGTACATAAACATATCATAATGTCCTGGGAGCTTGGGGCAGCACCCTGTAGCAGCCTCCTAGAAACCCAGATCTGGTTTTGTCACCAGGAGAAGTCAGGTCAGGTTTTGCTTGTCAAGTGAATTACAAAAAAAAAAAAAAAAAAAAAGGAAAGAAAAAGAAAAAAAAGAAGTGCTTATACTCAGAGCTTTTTGGACTTCTGAATCTTGGATGAGAGATTGTGGCACTGTAATTCTGTAGTTATTGATCATTAATTAATTTAGACTTCGGGTCTTCTTTGATGAAACCTCTACCTCCCCTGGACTAGTCTCCCTTAGACAGAACTTCTTTCTCCTGGAAAGGTGTTGAAAAGCACTGGGGTGGGGGAAGGGGGTGGGGTGAGGGGATCGGAAACTGAGGACTCCAGGTGCTTGGCTTCTTTCATTGGCTACACGCCTTCCCAGAGCACGGTGCAGGCCAAGCCTTAAACACCCACGGAGGAAACTGCTTGCCATGCTGTCTTCCTTCCGAACAGGTAGGTCGGTTGTGGTGACACTTCTCTCTCTTTGGACTGAAAGTCTGTTCAGACTTTGCAACCAACTGCCCGAGAGCTGCAGCATTTACAGAAGACGTTGTTTACAGGGCTCTTGCCTTTTCTCCTTTTGAATTTTTTAAAACCTATTTTGGAAAGAACAGATCAAATGTTGGCGCCTTCGTGATGGAGCTGTTACAAATACATTCTGAGGGCTGTGCAGTTTCTAGCAGGCAGTGAACTTGCTCGCCTGCTAGATATCATTCCTGGTGTGTCCATCCCAGGAATTCAGGTGTCCCCTCATTTACCAGTCTTCCACTGTCAGCCAAATATTTACTTCTCATATATCTCTAATTCTCTCTCAGTCCTAAATTAGTAAGTTCCTTGTTTCTTTCAGAATGAGTCCGGAGTCTACGGCCATGCCACCCTGAACAAGCCCAATCCCATCTGATCTCGAAAGCTAAGCAGGGTTGGGCCTGGTTCGTACTTAGATGGGAGACCACCTAGGAAGACCAGATGCTGTAGATGTAAAAAATAAAAAATAAGGGGTTGTAAGCTGAAAAGGTCCTTGCAATCCGTGAGGTCAACGAAGGGTTGCCTTGCCTAAAAAAAAAAAATAAATAATGAGTCCAGAGTTTTCTCCTTTCCAGATTATATTCATATGTATATCCTTTTGCCATACGAGAAAGTTCTGTATCATAGCACCTTGACCTTCGGCTATGAGTGCTCAAAAGCCTAGTTCAGACCCTGACTTTGTGAATGACCTTTGCTTTCTCTCATACAGTTTACTGGTGGTTCCCCAAAGTTTCATTCTATTGGAAAATCTTATTACTGTAATAGTATCTCGAATATACAAAGATAGAAGTAGACATAACAAGATGGAAAGAGTATTGAATTGGAATTTGCATGCTTGGTTTGCCTATGACTATCTGAGAAGAGTCATTCAACTCTTCTGACCCTCAGTTTTTCACCTTAGAATGCAGCTAATAATGTCTACCTAACCGGGTCATTGAGAGGACTAAATGGAAAAATACATGTAAA